AGATATTGATTATGGGGACAGTCCATTGTGATTGACTGAGTGGACGACGATTTTCAGCAATTTTCTTCGTACAGAAGTTTATTATTAATGAGACGAAATTTTATAATAATATAGAAAATAATTGCATCAAATCATTCTCGATTATTATTTTTAGCCCTTTAAATGCCGGGCGTCCGGATCCGAGCCAACGATTCGGAGATCGCGCCAACCGAGCGCTCTCATTGGTCAGGGTTTTTTGTTAATAATTCTTCAACCACTCCTCGGACAACTTTTTCGCTAAGGAAAATATTGTTTAAAATTACGTGAGGAACCTCCGATTTCAATATCATACACTAGTTTTGGGACACCCTGTATTCATAGCAAACCTTTTGCGTAACCAATGTAATTTGCTAAAAACGTTTTGAAAACAAAACTCGTAGCCACCTTATATCGTTGAACCAAGAAAAGTAATTAAGATAAATTGTTTAATCCTGCGACAGTCTTTTAAGGTGATTAAACTTTAACAGAGGCGATAAAAAATTCGTTCCGCAGGCAAAAGGGCCGAGTAAACCAAACGAACTGTGCGGTAAAAAATAAACCGAGGACAAAATCATTTTTCGAAATAATTCCTGTAAATCTTATCACAAATGGAACATTGATTAGTAAATACAACCGACGGGGGGGAGGATCTCCGTTTTGTTTCTAAATATTTTACAAGCTGAATAACGGCCGACAGGTTAATCGCATTTGCCCTCGCGGAACAAACGATACCGTCGGTAAAAAACGTGGCTGCGTTTCGGAACATTTTTAATCGCGTTCCGTTCGAATAATTAACAACGTGGAATAATTAACACGCCGCGGGTGGAAAAAGTGGCCGGACGTGACTCCTGCAATTTGCTTTTACCGTATCAATGCGATAAATTATAGAATACAACAATCCTCGATATATAAATAAATATTCGACTGTACAGATGGATTAAATAAAATATCAGCTTCTACTCTTCTTATCAGCATCGGCTGTGTATAAAATAAATGATTTTATACAGGCAAATGTACGCAGGGGATGAGCGCCACTGGTATAAACTGTGATAAATAATAAAGCCGGATACGGACGGAACGGAGAAAGCTTCCCTTCGAAATTATGACAATATATAAAAAAAAAAATGCTGTAACGGTAGGGAGATGATTTATAGCCGCCG